TTTTTCACGACATTTACATCAACTTTGGAGACAGATCGGCTTTCAACTTCTCTATTTCCGCTTCCTCACACGCTTTTTTCTTCGTGTAATTATCCTAGGAGAATTGTCGATGTTGGTGTCGTTGGTGAATTGCATATGCGACAGATTGGTCTGGTGTTGTTGGTGAATTGCATATGCGACAGATTGGCCGCATTTGACAAATATTCGGATGGTGATATGTTGTAGGTAAAATAACTTGTTTTCGTGCATTTAAAAAGGTAGCAGTATACGTAGATATGACCTCGTGATCACAAATGCAGACAAACAAAGCAGAGTATTAGAGAGGATGGTATAGGATAATAAATTCGCACATGACTGGAGAGCAAAAAAATGGGTGGCTCAAATTCGAAAGCCGCGCCTGTTTCGCTTTTGGGAGTGCGGATGAAGTCAGCATTTAAATGGTGCAAGTCTAAGTCAGCATCTACATGTGCTATTGTATTGCGTTGACCAGTGAGACGCTTAAGACTCTTCCAAATTTCATCCAAGGATAGAGTAGAGGCAGATATAGAAGAAGTAATAGGCTGACCAATCAAAAGGTCATTCAGCCTGGAAATCTTACGCTTTATTAGGACGTTCCCATCCTTTAGTCTTTCATGTAGACCTAGTTTGTAAAACAGTTTCTTTTGACTTCTCAAAGTTTCTAGATGGGGAGAAGAAAATCTGTCAGGTCTAAACACGACAGTGTCGACAGAACAGCAGATAGTAAAAATTTGGTTTCAAAAAGTTGTAAGATAACTGGAGCATGACTCGACGTTCGAGAGTTCAAGAAGGGCAGGAGGGTTGACAGATATGACGGTCTGGATCAAACGAATATTATGTGGGAACATGTCGCCAACCTTAAGTTTCCTTTTGGGTTTTGCCAACCGCCCTTTCTTAGAACTATAATAGATGGTTGGAAGGCCCAATAACACAGAATGATCTGAGTCTGACAATGGAGCTCTATTCTTGACTGCAAAATTTCGGGATAGTTAGACAATATGTGATCAAGAGGGGCGTCAGCACAAGTTTTGAAGGAACCTAAGTCGTCAAAACCTAACAATGTAAGGGAGCTTAGATTCACACGGTTGAAGTAACCACATAAAATAATAACATGCTCGTAAGACAGTACAGCAAGTTTTAGGGAAAGAAAATTAAAAAAACGGACTAAAGCAGCTTGACATGTAGAGGGAGGAATGTAAATACTGACATAAATAATGCCTTTAGAATTACTTGGAAAAGCGAGGCTTACAGACTACAGCAATGGCGTCTATTAAGTCGTCCGAATAAGCAAATAAGGACTTCCAATTTGTGTACCATTTCTGGTTTACAAAGACAGCCACTCCACCACCTCTGCTGGTGGATAAAGATTTTCTGTCCGAACGAAAACAGCAAAAGTCCGGCGGTGCGAGTCAATATCACTATTTAGCCAAATCTATTGAAGACAGATAACTGCAGACTTACTGTGTTCTTTTTCAACATAAGTGTCTCCAATTCAACACTTTTATTAAAAACAGAGCGATAATTTGTCGACATGAATCCCGGAAGAGATATTGATATTAATGGTTGACGCCTCGTTGCTTGTTGTCAGCCGCAACTGTATTTGCGTGGTCGTATGATGTTCCTTCGGTGAGTTTTTGACGTTGATGAGTCGCAAATGCGACAGATTGGATGTGAATTACAACAATTGGCATCATGAGCTGCCATCGACAGAATAATTGTTTTTTTTGTTCATTCAAAAGGTACGAGTGTAATGTAGAGATGGTCTCATGATCATAAGTGCCGACAAACAAAGCAGAGAAATAGACAGTGTGGTATACAACAATAAATTCCAACGTAAATGGAGAGCAAAAAAACCGGCAACTCAAATTCGAAAGCCCGCCAAAGTTTCGCCAATTAGATTTTTCAAGATGGAGTTTGCTCCATCCAATTGTAATTTCATGTGTTTTGGCTCTTTCAAGCATCCCTAGCCACTGATCTTTCGAAATTGTCAACTTGTAGAACTATCCACCTAGGAACTTTGGTCTAAGTTACACGAATATGCTAGTATTATCTCCTCATGCAGATTGGATTTCTGCAAAGGCCGCACAGATATGTGGTTTTAAATGAAATAATATCTTCCTCTGAAAAAAGCTCAAAATATTACGCAATTTTTCTTCCCATCCTAAAACATTGTTGTCCGCTTTTGGTCTTGTGAACGCCTCTGACCACAGTAAGGTTGAAAATGCTTAAAGACGTTTACTCAGTGACTATTTTCCTTTCTACATTTAATATCTCATGTACGGATAGAAAGCAGTTAGTAAACGTTAAAGTCCGATCTGTTAGAAGACTCGAAGCTGGCCTCTTCTTCCTGATTCGTATAAACTCTAGCCCCAATGTCCAACGAAATAACGCTCTCACTCCGGTAGATCGACCCCGGGCCACTCGCAATTCCTCCATGTATAGTTATTCACTTCTTATTTCCACATCTGACCGCTCCCGTTATTTGCTTCCAAATATGTTTCTAACTGGAATAACCTTCCACTTAAAATTAGATTGTCATCTTTGTCAGGGGTTTTCAAAGCTGAATTACGTAATTATTGAACTTCGGCAGACATTTATCCCCTATTTTCCGTCTCCCTCCCAAACACGCAATTTTTAGCCCTTAAAATGCTCCTCCTCATATTTTAGACAATTTCCTTGATATTAAATTGATTTCTAAATATTTTATATTATCCTATGCAGAATCAGGTTTCGCAGCCATTTTTCGTCCCCCCGTTCAACCATCATTACGAAATGTCGACAACCCTGATGCGTTCTCCCCTTTTGTAATTCCAGCGATGTTTTTTTCGGTGTATTATTAATCTTTATGCTCAGTCGATCGTCTTCGCGGTCTCTGTTGATGACTGTGGCAGGTTTTTCCGTTTTCGCCACCCTGTTGGTCAACACTGCAGTCCGTGAGGTCACACCT